AATAATTTATACAATTATAATTTTATTTTCAAAGGTATTGTTGCTCGGTAATTACCTACCCGGATAGGTTTACCCGGGTAACAAATATCTTAACCGGATATCCGTTGTATCCGCGGGTTACCCGGGTCCAGCCCTTACGGAAAAGACAGTTCATGTCAACCAATAAATCTTGACAGGAAATATAAAAAAGGCACCGGATACAAATTTATAAAATAACTGTATAAAATATACGTTAATATGTATATATTTATGTGTATATCCAAGTCGGTGTACAATTGTCATAAGATTAATTTTATGTTCCAACCAAAGTTCCATCTTGGATTTGTAATTCATACAGTTAAAATTTTATGTTTAATATCATTCATGTTTAATAACCGTGGTTTTCTTAAAAATGACGAAAGTTTTTCAATAATTGAAAGTGTTGAGAACCAGATATACTAACAATGATTTGCCAGTGAAGATGCTTATTCAACCAAAGATATATATCAATTTTATTGAATCCATTATGCCCGAAATCACTAACAACCGAAAACATTCGGTTTTCCAGAAATTATGATAACAGCTGTAATTCAGACGGCATTAAAATTGTCCTGGCCTATTGTCAACATAATTCGGCCCGACACTATAAACGGTTCCAATCACTAGATTTAATCCAATCATTTACTATTACTATTACAGTATTACGTGATATTAATATATTATTGCGCTTTGCAAAAAGATGTGACCTCTGCAGATCAATGTTGTGTGAAAATCGGGGATTCTGTAGATTCTAAGAATCTTACCAACAGGGACGGTAAATACTTCCATTAAGAATAGAATGGAATAAAATGATAATAATCGTAATACGGAAATTGAAAATTATTTTGAAAATTAAATTTTTGATTTGCTAAAAAATTTTTTTTTTGATGATAGGAATAAAATGGAATAATTGATGTTACTATGATAAAAATTTCCAATTTGATAGTGGAAGTATTCCCCGTCCCTGCTTACCAATTTCAAATAAATATAAGCATAACTGATCGAAAATATGAATTAATAGACAATTTAGAATCTCAGAAATTTTCCTCGTTCTTCATCACAAAAATCATGGGGTCACATCTTTTTTGCAAAGCGCTATAATATCTATATCGGCGGATTTGCGGAATTGGGTCTAAATTCCAAAAATTTTCAGCTATTGTGCATCCTAAATCTAAGGACCCAAATTTATACCCATTTCCATAAATCCGTCTGTGTTTAACAGTTACATGTTGCACAATAGTTGAAATCTTAAGGTCTGTTACAATTACATTGTTAAAATCCATAGACCTAACTCAAGCCCAATTCCGCCGATATGAGATTGTATTTAATTGGTCAATTTTTTTCTTAATTATAAATTACTTATGAAACAGACTTATAAATCATTTTAAATCATTACGTATATAATTTTAATCTTAACATTCACAACAAAAAATTTTTGCTCATACGCTTAAATAAACTATTACTGCATTTAGAAATTATATAAATGGCAATAATATTATGTAATTTTCTGATACGTGCAAATTTATTTAATTATAAATTAAATTTATAACAATTTATATAAACATATGTTTCTTTTTGTATAGTATTACTGTAAGTCCATAGCATAAAAGTATGCATAAATAATTATAAGACCTTGTAGTTTCATATAGTTTCTTATCTAGTAATTTTATAGAAAAAAGTTCCTAACATTATTGGTTACTCTATACAGTAATTACAAAAAAGTTATAATATGCGATCATCAAGATCACGAGGGATAAATAAAATTTAAATCGGGTGATATTAAACTCATAAAATTACTATCACCACCACCTAATAATGATAGTTCATACATTGAGTCATCATGATTTGTTAGAAGTGAAGACCGATACAATGATTGTGTTGTTTGTGCATATGTATCATTTAGAGAAACTGGTGTAAATTCGTTGATATAATCCATAGAGTTAATTTGTTGGAGATCATTAATTTGTTGGAGATTAATAGAATTAACATTGATTGTATCCACTTCATTAGTTGTAAGATGTTTAGCGTACTCGATATCAATATTGTATGAGTTGTAGTTATAATCAATAAAGGGAATACCATTTATGATATCGAAACCACAATTATCATCAGGTAAAGGTATAATAGTTTGATGGGAAGGTGAAGGTGTATATGCGTGCTTCTCGTTTAGGGAAATGTTGAAATGGTCAGAAAAGTTGAAATTCTTTTTTTCTCCACTGATGTCATTATTCGAAAGGTTACCGAAATTTATGCCTTCTATAATCATGTCCGACAAATCATTATAATAAAGTGGATTTTGGGATTGTGCTTGCATACTAACATGCGTGCAATGTTCCACAGAACAATTTACCATTTGGGGAACTTCTACGTCATTAATGTTACTAGAATTTGGTCCGTTGTCAATGAAGCTTGTACCGTTAATGTTACTTGATGCAACATTTGGTTGAGCCATTTTTTCTATGATTACACTATATCCACCATTATTCTTTCTTTCTTTATTTTTATTCATCTTCTTATGTTTTTTCTTTTTGATTGTTGGATCTATATTTACAATGTTCAACCTTTTCTCTGAGTTTCTTTCCCTGCATTCGTTAACTTCTTTGGCGTAGTTCTTGAAAATTTCTTTAAACGCTTTCGAGCCACTTTTCCAAATTTTTCCTGAAAGAGAAGAAATATCAACATTTTGAATGCGGGAAATTTTTAGATTGTCTGACTGGCTTTGCAAATGTTGTTGAAGGACTGTACGGAATATAGTGAAATCATTTAATTTCTTGGATCCTTTCGATTTGAAGGGGAATTTGTTCGGAATTGGAAGTTCGCAATTAAAAGTGACATTCCCAATTTTAAATACGAGAATTTTGTTTTCATCTAAATGAAGCATACGAGGGGACGTTTGGTCATTTTCAAGATTCATGTTGAAAGGCTCTAAAGCGTTATTAAAATCTGGAAAGGTATTCATTTTAAAAGTATTTCAAATATATAAGAAAATGTAATAATGATAATGAAACAACTTGAACTGGTTTATTTGTTTCCGGACGTATGAACGCATATTCCGCATTATTTATAAAGATTATACATATTTACAAAGAAGGAAATATCCAATTTTAGGCCTATATTGTACGTTCGTACGTACGTACATACATGTCAGGCTGAAAATCGTTTCACGATCAAATGATTCTTGTTCTTTGTAATGTTTGCATTTTTTTGCCTAATCGAGACTGTCTAGCAATAATTCTGTATAATTAATTCTCGTCGAAATGACTATATCGAACGTGTAATAAATGAATTTCACCATTTTTAAATTTGACGCCGAACAAATTTGAAACTTTTAATCTTATATCGAGCCTATTTTGATATATGCGCTTTAAGAAAATTTAGATAAAAAAGGAAACACCTGAAAGACTTCAGCGCTTACGGGAGTTTCCTCCGATTTTCTAAAATAAGAAAAACGGCGCTTGACATTAATTACTAATTCGGAAATTTGAATAAATGAATATTCATTCAATTTTTTAATTTTTGTCTAAATTACATTACACAAAAAATTCCGAAGTTTCTATACCTCAGATTTATTAAAAGTGTCATTTAAGATGGTACGTGCGTAGATACGCACATAGTATTTGCTAATTTTACAGTGCATTTAATATTGAGCGGTTACGATAATTTTTCGCAGATGTGATTTATTACTAGTTTATTACTGTCTTTGCACATCACACGATGGCTAGAATTTGCATATCTGATATCAAAATTTGTACGTACGTACGTACAAGCTCCGTATTATATTAATTCACATAATAATTTCGTATCAATCATAATATTTTAATTATGGTCTTTCTGCAATTTTTGAAGAAGGTTTACCTCGAAAATTCTAATATCTTAAACTAGCTTCACAATACAGACGTACCTCGGCATTTAACGGTTATACAACATGTTTAGGCATTTAGATACTCCGGGGATTAATCTGTTATTTTAATTTTTGTACGTACCGTATGTACGTGCATTTTTCCAAGAAATTGTGTAATGAAGAAATTGACTAATCAAATTGCGAACCATTCATTTTTCCATAATTGGTAACAAATATGCATTACATATTGTCACGATCAAAAAGTGAAAATTTCGAAATTAGGCGTAGTAAAACTTGTAGGTACGTGACGATCAACGTTTGTAATCCTGGCGTCTTAGATGTCATCAATGGAATTTTCCAGTGGTTGTAACGCAAACACAAAAGAAGAACCTTCGCGGAGAACATTCTCTGGAGAAAGGGAGGGAATTGAGTATCAAAGAAAATTCCTCACTCTTAAAGAGCGCCCGTTAACCATATAAGAGTTGGGTTGTGTGATTAATTAATGAAACCTTACAAGTACTGTATGTAAAATTATAAGAGAGTTGTCCTTTCGCATAATAGCGTATCATAAAATATTAATAAATCAATTAACAAATCACCATTTTACGCCTCTGGGAGTTGCCTTTTTATATTAAATTTGCATTTTATTATATATCGGTAATAATAAACCATACAATTCACCCCGTAGCAACATCTATCAAAACCAAATTATTATCAAGCATAATCACTAAAACAATATTAAAAGGATTGAAAAAATAATACTCCTCAATGGCATTTCGATTGGCTATAATCCTAAACTGATTTATTTTGCAAGAGAAGTACTTTACGCCTACTACTATTAATTTTTTTAGGTTTAAAGTTACTATATAATTATTTTATTATTACTATATATTTACTATACATTAGTAATACGCCTACTACTTAATTTTTCAAATTTCAGTAAAGTAGGAAGAGCAATTCGGCATTTGCGTAAGTGAAGAAATAATAGTATTCTAAGTATTATTTACATTATTAAATGGATTAAATCTAGTTATATGAGAAGTTTGATATAATTTGAATCTAAAATTTAAAGAGAGATATAAGATATATTGTAAATTAATTAGGCATATTATAATTACTTAAATAGAATTTTAGGTACATCAAATGCTTACGCTTTCGCCAAAATGATATTAACTGGTTTGCCTGCCTAAATTTCTTTAAAAAATTTTTTGATTATTGTTATATATTAAAGTTGAGAATAATATTAAACTATGCCGAATACAAAGTCTATTATAAAATATCAGAAATTTCCTTTAAGAAAAAATTTTTCCGAATTGACTTTTCAGTAGTCGGAAGATTTACATTACTTATACTTGAATTTCCGATTTAAAAAATTATTGCGACAAGAAAGTAGGTTACATCACCCGGAAATTTTGTGCACTGTACTAAATGACATTGTTTAATTCCAGGATTGGTAGTAATGCCAAATTATGGATTGTTAATAGAAAAGGTTCCAGATTGTACAACTCAATTACTATCATCATAAAATTACACAGCGGGATCGAGGAGTAGATCAACAAGGATAGTGTAATTAAAACCATACTGCTTTTGGTCTTGAGATTTTCTTTTATTTGACCACTGCCAAGGGAAATGTGATTCAGATTTTCAAGATTATAGAAATTTTTTAGTAATATGCTAGGAAGTAATTCAGGCTTTAATATAACAAATGCTTCATTAATAAAATCTCCATTTAAATTCAAATTGATTATATCATGACTCTAAATGCTAAGTCTGATAAACAAAACGTGGTAAGAAAGCATAACAGCCAATTAGACCTCTAAAAGTAGACGTCAAGTCACATATAATCCAGTTAACCAATCAGATCGCTTTTAACACGAACAGATGTAGAGCTTTAATAGTATTGATGTTTAAAATAATACCTTTTTCAATCTTTCATGTGCTTTCTCAAAATACTAACGCATTCCTTCCAAATCTATCATTGATATAGCATAGCCAAATTAAGTTTATGACAAATATAGCAATACGGTAAGTGCCATAAACCATATTATATATCCGGCAGGTATTATGTAAACACTGACGGAAAAATTTTACATTATTTCCGCAAATGTTTATTATATAAAATTCTTTCCGTAAGTGTTACGTCATACCTGCCAGATTTAGTAATTTAGTGATGTCCAAAATTTTTTCATTTTCATGTAACCGAGCTCCCGGAATTAACTAAACTTGCCCAAAATCACCAAATTTTACTAATGCTAATAAACACTAGCTAACATACTTTTAAAATTACCAGCATTGTCGCCTACTTCAAAAAGCTCGGGTTACACTAAAATACAAAATTTTTTGGACATCACTAACTTACTATACTATACCAGATAACAAGATAAATAAAATCCAATGCCAATTTTAATAAATATTTAGTTTATAAAAAATTTACAAAATAAATAATTCTCAAAAATATAAAAATAAAAAATATTTTTTTAAATAAAGCTTTAATATATTGTAATTATAATAAGAGTAAAGACATTTATCACCTGATTTTTTTTTATCAGAAGCTTACTCCCCCCAGCTTTTAATACTGTATATAATTTATCAGGTGTTATATATAAAATTTTGATTTTTTTGACTCTAAAAAATCACCTGATAAATGTTGACCTTAAAGAAATATATCTAAGATACAAATTTAGTAAATTTTTTAGTTTTCATATTATATATAATTTTAAATAACCACCAACTTGGATTTTATATTGCTATAATAAAAAAAATTTGTATTTAAAAAATGTTATTTAAAAATATATTTATATTTAATATCAAAAAAATTTAATATTTATTAATGTATATATATATATTTAATATTTAAAACACAACTCTTTCCAATAACATCAGGAGAATTAAATAAGTGCAAATCTGCAAAAATCTGCGAAAATGCAGATTGTTGCAGAATTTTTTGCAAAAAACTACAAAATTTTTTATATTTTGAAATTTTGCACAGAACTGTATTTTAATTTCTGTGGCTATAGCTGGTGACTCTGAAGTTTTGTATAGATTTTCATTTAATTTATTATTTAATTTTTTTGCAAATCTGCACAAAATAGCACTAAAAAATTTCTTCTGATGAATTACTTGAACCACAATTTACAAAAAACTATTTACTAAAAAAAAGTACAGTATACTAGTGTTTGGTTATTAACTTTAGCATAAAACATGGAAAAGAGACCATAAAACAGCAGCTATTATTTAGAGGTAGTTTTTATACACTACTTGCTAACAGCTTTAGAGTTTATCACTCACTATAAGCATGGCACTTGTCATTTAAAAGTAGTTTTTATATGCTATTTGCTAACAAGTTTAGAGTTTATCACTTACTAGAAAGATTTAGTACTATGCAGGCTTTGCCATATTGTTGATTTTAGTAAAAGAAAATCCACACTCTTTTAGTAGTTTCAAATATTTTTTCTCTCTTTCATATTTTGCTGACCTCACCAAAATTTTCAACAAAAAGTAGGCATTTTAGCTTACTCTTTCAAAAGATTGTCATTGTTTATATTTTCTATTTTTAAACAGACAAAGTAGAATATAAATACAGGATTGTTTTGATAACAATATCTTCTACACCACGTAATGACCAATCAGTGCTTTAATTAACAAACCAACTCGAACTTGACAGTAAAGTTAGAAGAAAATTTAATAATAAGGCTTAGCTTTATAACAGAGATATACAAGATTTTTTAAATTTAATATATAACTTTTACAACTATGCCTAGTATAGGCAATAATAGTATTTTCATAGATTGTGTTTTTTTCTGCCATTTTTTTCTTTTTTTATTTATTTTTGCTATTCATTTTCTTGTTGCTTAGGCAGTTTTTTTCTTTTTCTTTTTCATTTCATTCTTTTTATCTTTTTAGTATTAGTTTTTTTTTATAAGTCAGTTGGAGACTATGAATCCTTCTGCTTGAAAAGCTAGAAGAAGAAGATTAGAAAAGAAGGTGATCTTGATAAACTATAAATACCATTTAGTGATATATTGAAAATTTATTTGCTGAGTTTTTTAATATGAAGATAAATTTTACTATAGCAAATCAAACATGGGTAGTTTGAACATTTCACAAAAAGCTGAGTT